GAATTATTTATTAAATGATTAGCATAGTATAAAATCCCTCAAAATTAAATTATTAATTTATATTAGGAGTAGTTCGTGCAAACCACCAGTATGTTAAATTATTCACTAAAGTAAATCTTTAAAATAAATATTTTACACTTAAATCAGAAATTGAAAGTTTTAGAAATGAGAATAACTATACTTATATATTCATGTGGTTATTCTTCAAGACAAAATAATTTATAAGGATTTAAAATAAGAGAGATGAGGGCTGGTCCATTAGCTTACAGGGGTAGAGCACGGTGTTATTAACACCATGGTCAAGGGTTCAGATCCCCATACTGGCCAGCTGCCAAAAAACCAAACCAAAACTAAGTAAATAAAATGAGAGACAAGATTTGAGAGGTCTTTAGTCCACAATCTGGAGTAATTCTGTTTGATATTTTAAACATTGGTTAAAATGTTTCTTTTTAGTCCAGTTGACAGTTCACTTTATCTTTTTGGCATTATCCCAAAGTAAAATGCACACAATCTGTTATTTTTCAAAGCTTTCACTGTTATTTTCATGTAATTTTGAAATTACCACAAAAATAAATGCAACAATTACCTCCTATCTATAAAACTCCATGAAGTGATATTTCTTTGCTATCTACAAATTCCCTTTGGTTTTTACAAGTATATTTGGGAAAAGTAAGACAGCCCTTCCAAAGAAATATTAAAACTGGAAATTTTGACCATAGAAACTGTATAGGCTCTAATAGATAGAAAGCTTTCAAAAGTATGGTTGAGACAAGGAATTAGATTCAAGTAATTATTCAATTATCATAACATTAGCTTTACTCAGATTTTCAAAATGGCTTAATTTACATGGATGAATGGCTGTAACCTCAAGAATAGTCAAGTCATAGTGCTTGTTTGAAATTTGACATTGCATCTAAGTGCATATGTTATCAAATTTTGAACAATGTGATTCATAATAGTACATTGTCCAGTCTGATCATACATAGATGGCCAGATTAGAACTATGATAAATCTTCAAGATCTATCTCTTTTATAGACTACTTGAGAAGTAGTTTTGGGTTATTTTGTGACAAAGTATTACAGGGAAGGCAAAAAACAAAGGCTAAAATGAACTTTGTGGTGTTGGATTGGTACCAGAGGAATCAATATAAACTCATGGTGTTTGACATTTTTAAAGACAAATACAGAAATAAAGGTGTATGCATACACATGAGTTTGTGTGTCAACATATATTTCTTATTTCTGTTTGCTAAGATGGTAGTTAAAAGAAAGCTTTCCTCGCTGTCCTTTTTGGATGTAAGGTGCTATTTTTGTTTCTTAATGCTTGCAGATTAATATTTAACTAGTATTTAGAGATCAAGGCTATGCCCTACCACTGGCAGAGGAATCCTAGGGCCTTGGAAGACTTGCATTCGTTCTGACTTTGTCCCTGCATTAGTACCGAGTGGGCCCAAGTAAGTCAAGAGCAGATCGAGTACTTGGAGTAGTAGGCGGTGAGAAAATTAGAAGGGAACTGGTGACAACATCGTCAAACCTTTACCTCTACACTAGATTCAACCACTTAAAACTTACAGTAGTGACAGTCTTTTATTGCCATTCTTGCCATTTTTTGTTTTGTTGTATGTTTTTCCTCATTATCAAATAGGCACAGGACGGACAGTTAGGTAGAACTTTGCCTCTAAGAAAGGAAGATCTATCTCACAGGCAAAAAAATTCAAACATATAACAGCACATTTGTTGACAAGGCTGTGGGGAAACAGGCAGTGTCATATTTGCTGGTGGAGATACAAATTGGTACAAATCTTCTGGTGGGAAATTTGGTGATACCTAACAACCAAATATGCATTTACACTTTGATTCTTTGAGGAATCTATCCTGAATATGCCTCCAACAATACAAAAATGTAACTATTAACAGTTATTAATAATAGTATTGTTTAATTTGAAAATATTGGAAACTACCGAAATGCCCACACATAGAAGAATGTTTGAATAAACTATGGTACATTCATATGATGGAGTACTGTGCAGCTGTAAAAAAACAGTGAAGAATACATCTCTGAAGTTATGTGGAGTGATTTTCATTGTACATTATTAAGTGAACAAAAAGTGCAAAAGAGCATTTATAGTGTGCAACCCTTTGTGTAAGAATGAATCAGATATAAGAAAATACACATGCATATACTCATTTTTGGAAAAGAAATACTGGCAAGATAAACCCGAAACTAAAGAGATTGGTTACCTGTAGGGAGTGGGGGAAAAGAGGTAGACAGAAGGGAATGACATCTGTGTAGCAGGGGTAAAATGTGAGTGACACTTATCAGAATATATTTTTTGTGTATTTCTGACTCTTAGAACCATAGGAATTTTTTACATATTCCCCAAGTAAGCAATTACCACCAGTCAGTATGTGAGGAACCCAAGAAGGAATAGCAAAATTTACATTAAAGGGGATAGGGAAGAAAAGAGCTGACCTAAGTATCTCTAGAAAACAGTATCTTGATTAGATACAAAGCTAAAGACAAAAAGAACTGTACAGGGCCGGCCTGGTGGCGCACTCGGTAGAGTGCAGCGCTTGGGAGCGCGGCGGCGCTCCTGCCGACGGTTTGGATCCCATATAGAGACCGGTCCGCTCACTGGTTGAGCGCAGTGCGGGCGTGACACCAAGGGTTGCGATCCGTTGCCGGTCGCGGTATGGGAGCGACACTGAGGGTTGCGATCCCGTTATGGGTCATGAAAAAAGACAAAAAAGGAAAAAGAACTGTACAAATATGCTGTAATCTAGTTAGTAAATGCGTTTGTCATAAGAGTTTGAATTAGCAATTCTGAAACTACTTTATGTGTATACTCAGTGAACAGATAAGTAAATATATTGTAGATAATGAGAGCTAGGTTTTCATTGATGGAGAAAGTAACTACAAATAAAGGCTAAACCAACTCTGTGGTATTGGAACGGAATCAGAAGTCTGAATATAAACTCATGATTTTTAATATTTATACAGACAGATACAGAAATACAGGTGTGTGTGTGTACGAGTTAGTTTGCAGATGTTCTTTCCTAGCTCTCTCCCTTAAGAAGCAGTGGCACCCAGTAGCATTGAGAACACCAGGTACTCTGATCCTGGTTTCTAACCAGTGTTCTCTAGTAAAAGGAACCAGGGTTTCTGGATAAGTAGTTCATCACAGGACTAGTGCAGGGACGATACACAATGAGCCAGGATCATCTTGTTGTGTCAGAAAGTTAAGGAAGTGCCCAAAAAGATGGGAACCTGTTGAAAGTACAGGAGCCAACCTGAAGGAGCTCCCAAGAACTGGGCCAATTTGAGCAACAACAAAAATAATGATAGTATTAAATTTTCATTCACAGAATAAAATAAGTTGTACATAAGTTTGTAGTGATATAAATAGATACAAGTAAATAAGTAGTGTAAGTCACATCACTTCTCTACTCAGCACTCTTCAGTGACTCCCTATTTTATTCAGAGAAAAAAGCCAGAGCTCTTACTGACCTACAAGGCACTACGTGATTTTCACCATTCCCCAGAAATACTTCTAAGACGTCCACTATCGCTCTTCCCTTCATTCACTTCCCTCATCCACACAGACTGACCTCCTTGGTTGTCCCGGGTCCACCAGGCATATATCCACCACAGGGCCCTTGCAGTTGCTGTTCCTTCTCTGTTGAATACTCTTCTTAGATTTATGCATGACCTGCTCACTCATATCCTTTACGTATGTATTTAAGAATGAGTTACCCTTGGGCTGGCCCGGCGGCACACTCGGTAGAGTGCAGCGCTTGGGAGTGCAGCGGCACTCCTGCCGAGAGTTCAGATCCCATATAGAGACGAGTCCACTCACTGGTTGAGCACGGTGCGGGCATGACACTGAGGGTTGCGATCCCATTGCCAGTCGCGGTACGGGAGCGACACTGAGGGTTGCAATCCCGTTACCGGTCACAAAGAAAGACAAAAAGGAAAAAAAAAAAAAAAAAGAGAATGAGTTACCCTGTCAGTGAGGCCTTTGTTTGGCTTGCATCAGAGATTTCTAAGTGCCTCTTCCTCCCATAATATCCCTGCTGTATTGTTTTCTCCTTTGTACTTATCACCGTCTAACTTAGTGTATATTTACTTAATGATCTTGTTTATTGTTTATCTTCCCTCACTAGAATACTAATGCCATTAGGACAAGGATTTTTTCTGTTTTGGTTATTCCTCAGTAAATATCTGCAGACTAAATGAATAGCATTGAAGATCTTCATGGAATCATTCATAGTCAGGAAGGAAGTCCGAAGTGCCCAAAAGTGTTACTGGAGGTCATCAATGTAGTTAATTTTATACAAGTTTACACACTTATAGTTGTCAAAAAAAATCTCTANCGAACCCTCAGCGGGAGCGCCACCGCGCTCTCAAGCGGCGCACTTGTAGCAGTGCGCCACCAGGCTGGCCCTAAGTATTTAAGTTAAGACCAAAGGGAATGTTCATTTTGTGTGTTAGAATATGGTTCCTACTAGAATATGAGTGAGCCAGTTTTTTAAAAATTATAATATTGAATGGAAACATAAATTTATAACTAATTTTAATATTTGGGGCTGGCCCTAAGCATTTAAGTTAAGACCAAAGTGAATGTTCATTTTGTGTGTTAGAATATGGTTCCTACTAGAATATGAGTGAGTCAGTTTTTTAAAAATTATAATATTGAATGGAAACATAAATTTATAACTAATTTTAATATTTGTGGGTTTGGAGACTTTTTCTTAGTTGTTGCTTACATGATATAATATGGCAACCCAGTTTACTATTGTACTATGAATAATAACAACAGACGAATTGTAAAATTTGTTTTATGACAGTTTATGCCTAATAAATTAAAATTGATTTTGCATTACATTGTATTTAAATTGTTATAAAATGAAATGAGTTTCTACTTGATATTACTCTCATAGCTGTTTTATTTTATTTTATTTTCAGAGAACGATCTCCTCAGCAAAATACAGTATCTTGTGTAAGTGTAAGCACCCAAACAGCTTCAGATGATCAGGCTGGTAAATTATGGGATGAACTCAGTCTGGTTGGTCTTCCAGATGCCATTGATGTCCAAGCCTTATTTGATCCTACAGGTATGAGCCTGTCTTCATTAACAACTACCTGTTGATTCCTGAAGCATTTTAATTTTAGTGTGCTATCAACTTACTCAGCAGTAAATACTTTTCATTTAAAAGTAATTACGATAATATTGTTAAAAATGTCATTAAGTATGCCTGGTTTGGTAAAAGAAATTCTAATTATGTTACTTAATTTGTTTAAAATTTGCACAGTGCCAACAGTGGACTGGATGCTTTTATAAATATTTGCATTTACTTTTGTGTAGGTATCAATGCCATGGAGATCTGACACTTGAGGAAAGAGAAAATTTTAAAGGAATATGTGAGAACTGGATGTATTTAACTTGAGGATTCAGGACAATAGATCTAGCTGTGTGGGTTATCCTATTGTAACAGTACCGTAACTCACACTCCTAATATGGTGCTGTTGGGATTTTAAATAAATCTCATTCTACACTTGAACTGCAGATTTATTGATTGTGGTTCACGTGCTGTGTGATGGTGAATTTTAAGACTGAGCTATTGTATTAACAATTGATGTGTGCTCCTGCTGTGGAATGGAGGGGGAATAGAGGTGTGTGTTGTTTATTTTCCATACATCGCCTTTATCATCATCACAGTATTAAATAATGTCCTGTCTGTTTTATATAAAGATACCAAATAAAATATCTTACAGTAATATTTAAATAAAATGACTAAAAACTAGTTTGAAAAAATAATCACTAATTCAATGATTCTTAAACTTTCATGTGCATCAGAATCACCTGGAAGGCTTGTTAAAGCACAGATTGCTGGGCCCTACTGAAGAGTTTTTGATTCAGTAGGTCTCAGTTGTGATCTGAGATTCTTCATTGCTAACAAGTTCCCAGACTGACGCTGATGTTGTCAGTTCAGGGATTAGACCCACATTTTGAGAAGTGCTGCTATAGTGATAACACAGTTATAGGAGGTTATGGTGCATTTATCAGTTAGAATTGATTTTGGAGTTGAATGTCTTTTTTTAATGTTTATTCAATCTCTCCTTTTCATTTTTGCCATCTTAGGCACTTGTTGGGCTCATCACCGTTGTGTGGAGTGGTCACTGGGAGTATGCCAGGTGGAAGAACCGTTATTAGTGAACGTGGACAAAGCTGTTGTCTCAGGGAGCACAGAAGTAAGTAGAGGAAACAAACATGTAAACTGCAGTTTTATAACACTGACTTTGCTCAACATAAGGGTTCACTTGTAAGAATTATTTATTAAATGATTAGCATAGTATAAAATCCCTCAAAATTAAATTATTAATTTATATTAGGAGTAGTTCGTGCAAACCACCAGTATGTTAAATTATTCACTAAAGTAAATCTTTAAAATAAATATTTTACACTTAAATCAGAAATTGAAAGTTTTAGAAATGAGAATAACTATACTTATATATTCATGTGGTTATTCTTCAAGACAAAATAATTTATAAGGATTTAAAATAAGAGAGATGAGGGCTGGTCCATTAGCTTACAGGGGTAGAGCACGGTGTTATTAACACCATGGTCAAGGGTTCAGATCCCCATACTGGCCAGCTGCCAAAAAACCAAACCAAAACTAAGTAAATAAAATGAGAGACAAGATTTGAGAGGTCTTTAGTCCACAATCTGGAGTAATTCTGTTTGATATTTTAAACATTGGTTAAAATGTTTCTTTTTAGTCCAGTTGACAGTTCACTTTATCTTTTTGGCATTATCCCAAAGTAAAATGCACACAATCTGTTATTTTTCAAAGCTTTCACTGTTATTTTCATGTAATTTTGAAATTACCACAAAAATAAATGCAACAATTACCTCCTATCTATAAAACTCCATGAAGTGATATTTCTTTGCTATCTACAAATTCCCTTTGGTTTTTACAAGTATATTTGGGAAAAGTAAGACAGCCCTTCCAAAGAAATATTAAAACTGGAAATTTTGACCATAGAAACTGTATAGGCTCTAATAGATAGAAAGCTTTCAAAAGTATGGTTGAGACAAGGAATTAGATTCAAGTAATTATTCAATTATCATAACATTAGCTTTACTCAGATTTTCAAAATGGCTTAATTTACATGGATGAATGGCTGTAACCTCAAGAATAGTCAAGTCATAGTGCTTGTTTGAAATTTGACATTGCATCTAAGTGCATATGTTATCAAATTTTGAACAATGTGATTCATAATAGTACATTGTCCAGTCTGATCATACATAGATGGCCAGATTAGAACTATGATAAATCTTCAAGATCTATCTCTTTTATAGACTACTTGAGAAGTAGTTTTGGGTTATTTTGTGACAAAGTATTACAGGGAAGGCAAAAAACAAAGGCTAAAATGAACTTTGTGGTGTTGGATTGGTACCAGAGGAATCAATATAAACTCATGGTGTTTGACATTTTTAAAGACAAATACAGAAATAAAGGTGTATGCATACACATGAGTTTGTGTGTCAACATATATTTCTTATTTCTGTTTGCTAAGATGGTAGTTAAAAGAAAGCTTTCCTCGCTGTCCTTTTTGGATGTAAGGTGCTATTTTTGTTTCTTAATGCTTGCAGATTAATATTTAACTAGTATTTAGAGATCAAGGCTATGCCCTACCACTGGCAGAGGAATCCTAGGGCCTTGGAAGACTTGCATTCGTTCTGACTTTGTCCCTGCATTAGTACCGAGTGGGCCCAAGTAAGTCAAGAGCAGATCGAGTACTTGGAGTAGTAGGCGGTGAGAAAATTAGAAGGGAACTGGTGACAACATCGTCAAACCTTTACCTCTACACTAGATTCAACCACTTAAAACTTACAGTAGTGACAGTCTTTTATTGCCATTCTTGCCATTTTTTGTTTTGTTGTATGTTTTTCCTCATTATCAAATAGGCACAGGACGGACAGTTAGGTAGAACTTTGCCTCTAAGAAAGGAAGATCTATCTCACAGGCAAAAAAATTCAAACATATAACAGCACATTTGTTGACAAGGCTGTGGGGAAACAGGCAGTGTCATATTTGCTGGTGGAGATACAAATTGGTACAAATCTTCTGGTGGGAAATTTGGTGATACCTAACAACCAAATATGCATTTACACTTTGATTCTTTGAGGAATCTATCCTGAATATGCCTCCAACAATACAAAAATGTAACTATTAATATACAAATTGGTACAAATCTTCTGGTGGGAAATTTGGTGATACCTAACAACCAAATATGCATTTACATTTTGATTCTTTGAGGAATCTATCCTGAATATGCCTCCAACAATACAAAAATGTAACTATTAACAGTTATTAATAATAGTATTGTTTAATTTGAAAATATTGGAAACTACCGAAATGCCCACACATAGAAGAATGTTTGAATAAACTATGGTACATTCATATGATGGAGTACTGTGCAGCTGTAAAAAAACAGTGAAGAATACATCTCTGAAGTTATGTGGAGTGATTTTCATTGTACATTATTAAGTGAACAAAAAGTGCAAAAGAGCATTTATAGTGTGCAACCCTTTGTGTAAGAATGAATCAGATATAAGAAAATACACATGCATATACTCATTTTTGGAAAAGAAATACTGGCAAGATAAACCCGAAACTAAAGAGATTGGTTACCTGTAGGGAGTGGGGGAAAAGAGGTAGACAGAAGGGAATGACATCTGTGTAGCAGGGGTAAAATGTGAGTGACACTTATCAGAATATATTTTTTGTGTATTTCTGACTCTTAGAACCATAGGAATTTTTTACATATTCCCCAAGTAAGCAATTACCACCAGTCAGTATGTGAGGAACCCAAGAAGGAATAGCAAAATTTACATTAAAGGGGATAGGGAAGAAAAGAGCTGACCTAAGTATCTCTAGAAAACAGTATCTTGATTAGATACAAAGCTAAAGACAAAAAGAACTGTACAGGGCCGGCCTGGTGGCGCACTCGGTAGAGTGCAGCGCTTGGGAGCGCGGCGGCGCTCCTGCCGACGGTTTGGATCCCATATAGAGACCGGTCCGCTCACTGGTTGAGCGCAGTGCGGGCGTGACACCAAGGGTTGCGATCCGTTGCCGGTCGCGGTATGGGAGCGACACTGAGGGTTGCGATCCCGTTATGGGTCACAGTTGCTGTTCCTTCTCTGTTGAATACTCTTCTTAGATTTATGCATGACCTGCTCACTCATATCCTTTACGTATGTATTTAAGAATGAGTTACCCTTGGGCTGGCCCGGCGGCACACTCGGTAGAGTGCAGCGCTTGGGAGTGCAGCGGCACTCCTGCCGAGAGTTCAGATCCCATATAGAGACGAGTCCACTCACTGGTTGAGCACGGTGCGGGCATGACACTGAGGGTTGCGATCCCATTGCCAGTCGCGGTACGGGAGCGACACTGAGGGTTGCAATCCCGTTACCGGTCACAAAGAAAGACAAAAAGGAAAAAAAAAAAAAAAAAGAGAATGAGTTACCCTGTCAGTGAGGCCTTTGTTTGGCTTGCATCAGAGATTTCTAAGTGCCTCTTCCTCCCATAATATCCCTGCTGTATTGTTTTCTCCTTTGTACTTATCACCGTCTAACTTAGTGTATATTTACTTAATGATCTTGTTTATTGTTTATCTTCCCTCACTAGAATACTAATGCCATTAGGACAAGGATTTTTTCTGTTTTGGTTATTCCTCAGTAAATATCTGCAGACTAAATGAATAGCATTGAAGATCTTCATGGAATCATTCATAGTCAGGAAGGAAGTCCGAAGTGCCCAAAAGTGTTACTGGAGGTCATCAATGTAGTTAATTTTATACAAGTTTACACACTTATAGTTGTCAAAAAAAATCTCTAAAATAGAGTACATCTTTACAATTGATTGGGAGAGAGGGTCCCATGAAAATCCTCGATATCACAAAACATTGCCTAGGGGCAAAGTGTATAATAAAAGTTCTGTTGAACTTAGAACACATTTTTATTTTAGCAAAAGACAGATGTTCTAAATTTGACCTTATTATGATGACATGTGGCTGAGTGTATTATGATACCTAGCTCTATTTTTGAAAAAATAAATAAACATTTAACCTGCCTCTTGAAGACAAAGGTGACGTTTTAATAACGAGAATGTAATGACTTTTCAAATAAATGTGTGCTGGGAGTTAAGCATTTTTGAAACAGATGTTTGGAGTTATTTCCGTTGATATTTTATTGGCAGAAACAGTGAATGTTTATATTAAAAAAAAAACCAAAACAGAAACTTTAATATTTGTCATAAAAAAATTTGGATATGGAATTTCCCGATTTGTTTAAAAAAATATTCTAAAGAGTTTTGGTATGTTTTAAAATTATTTGTTAAAAATTTAATACTTTTTGATTAAGGACGTTGTGGAAATCATGCACTACTTACTTCTATTTAGATTTCTCTACTTTGGGGAGAATCTTTTTTTTTTTTTTTTAAAAAAAAGAACCTATGTCAGCTATTAAAACCAGATACTGAAATAAATGGTGGTTAGAATCAGGCCTTTCAGTTTAAGAAGGTGAAAGAGAATAAGATACAAAGCTCAGATGGAGGGGTTGCAGTGCTCCCTCAGTTTTTCTTTTTTTTTTTTCCCTTTTTGTCTTTTTTCGTGTCCGGCAACAGATCGCAACCCTCAGTGTCGCGCCCGCACCGGACCGGGACCGGCAACGGGATCGCAACCCTCGGTGTCGCGGCCGCACCTCGCTCAGCCAGTGAGCGGGAACCAGTCTGTATGTGGGATCCGAACCCTTGGCGGGAGCACCACCGCACTCCCAAGCGGCGCACTGTAGCAGTGCGCCACCGGGCCGGCCCGCTCCCTCAGGTTTTTGATTGTGCACATCTTTTAATAAGAAATGTTTGAGGGCCGGCCCGGTGGCGCACTGCTACAGTGCGCCGCTTGGGAGCGTGGTGGCGGCACTCCCGCCGAGGGTTCGGATCCCACATA